AAAAGATAATAAATCAAATGGTGTTGATAATTTACATTCAGCTATTTTAAAGAATTGTGCATCAGCATTTGCCATTCCACTTACGTATATTTTAAAAGAGTCGTTTAAAACCAGCAAACTGCAAGTGCAATTTAGATTAGCAAATATCACTCCTCTGTACAAAAAAGGCAAAAAAACCTTAGCAGGAAGCTAACAACCGGAATCACTCACCTCAATTGCATGTAAAATAGTGAAAGGTATAATCAGATGTAAACTTGAAACTATTCTATATAATTTCAAACTAATAATCAAGCAACAGAACGATTTTGTTAAAAATAAATTATGCTGAACAAATCTACTTGAAACACTTGATTTTGTTTCAACCGCCTTAGAGAATGGTTAACCTGTTGATGCTATTTTTTTGGATTTCGCCAGGGCATTTGACACAGTGCCCCATAAAAGATTATTGCTTACAGCTTATGGAATATCTGGTCTGACAATACAATGGGTGGATTTTTAAAAGAAAAAAAGTAATGAGTTGTGATAGGCAAAAATGTATCCTCTTGGGTAGAAATTACCAGTGGTGTGCCACATGGGTCAGTAATTGGACCACTATTGTTTGTACTATTTATAAATGATTTGCCTGAAGTTCTAAAAACTCTAACCAAGCTGTATGCAGATAACACACAAATTTTGAATGAAATGCTTTCCAGTGCGTAAACTCCTTCTTTGCAATCAGATCTAGATTGTAGATCTGATTGCAAAGAAATAGGCTTGTGAAATTTAATATTTCAAAATGTGAGGTCATGCACTTTGGCCGGAATAACAAGAAATCACCCCTTTATATCAATGAACAAAAGTTAAACATAACAGAATCTGAAAGTGATCTTGGAGTAATCTTTTCAAGCAATCTGAAATGGAAAAATCATTTAATATAATGCATAGGCAAAGCTTACCAAATGTTGGGTCGGATTAGAAAATGCTTCGTTTGTTTAGGTATTAGACTGCTGAGAATACTTTATATTTCTTTTGTGCGAGCACTGTTAGAGTTTGTGGGACAAGTTTGGTCACCTATTCAAAGGGGAGAAATTGAGTTATTAGAAAGAGTCTTAAAAAAATCAGTTATGAGAATCGTCTAAAACCTCTTGACTTGACTACTTTGACAAAAAGGAGACAACGGGGAGATATGATTCAACTTTTTAAATTCTTTAATGATTTTAACGATTTAAAAACAATCAAAAAATTAGTATTTAACAAACTCAAACGAGAGGTCACAGCTTTAAATATGTCAAAGAAATCACTAAACAAGCATGTCGTGAAAACTTTGCTAAGCGAATTGGTTAAAGCACCAGTTTTGAAGCAGGTCTTGATTGCTGGATGAGCAGCAATTAAGCGAATCGGCTGTCATAGTGTGTTATTACCATACTCACTAGCTCACACGAGTTACAGCAGTTTCTAATACTAATACTAATACTAATATATATATATATATATATATATATATATATATATATATATATATATATATATATATATATATATATATATATATATATATATATATATATATAATTTAATCTCATTAAAAGTTACAAATCGTCGGAGTGCAAATCCGCGTAACTAGCATTGGATAATACCGCGTATCTGACAAATGTAGCCAATTTGAGATTTCGTGGGCAATGTACTCAGGATTCTAATTGGCAGCCCCCAATACTGAGGTTACTTTCATTTGACCTAAAGAATGCAGGTTATTGCCCAAGAATAATACTGCGTATCTGGGACCAGTAAATGTCAGTACCGCGTATGTGATCGGTTATCATCTGGAGCGTAACTGAAATGTTGTTACGTGTTGTCAAATTCGTTTTATTCATGAAAATAATCAACACCATATCAGTTAAGTTTTAGTTTTGTTATCTATATTTAAATGTAATAAAGAAAAAACATTTTTTTTGTTCATTAACTATTTTTTTAAAGCTCGTTTTACAAAAAGAAAAAATTTTAAATAATTTTAGATAAAATTGGTATTTAAAAAAATTTTCAGTTTAAATTTCATCTTAACCATGCTAATGTCATTAGCACGGTTTACCTTAGTAAATTTAGTCATTAGTGTTGACTGAATATTGTAAGGTAAACATTTTGTAAGTTAGCTAGTTTATATAAATGCAATATTTAGTTTAAAATATTACTAAATTATATAAATCATTATGAATATTTTTTATATTTTTATATAGCTGATTTTTTTAGACTAGATAGATAAAGAGTAAAATGGCAAATAACAGCAAACTCTTGTCAAGAAGATAAAACACATCAATTTATGACATTGAAAGCTTTAAAGAAAATAACTGACAATTTACCATATTTTACTTCACCAAGTGAATTACCAACTTTTGACATTTCAGTAGATGATTCTGTTGCTGATCCAAATAAAAATCTAATCTCTGAAATAACAGATGTTGAACAGATAGCTTTCACTCAATCAATAGACAGCAATAACGATTTTTTTCATGAAAGAAATTTGGAACCTGAAGTAGCAGTTGAATCTAGGGAAAGGAAACGAAAAGCATAAGAAATGTCTTCAAAAAGATTTAGGAATAAGAATTTGAGAATGCTAGGTCATGAACACACAGGTTTTAGAAAGACTTGTAGGGAAAAATTTTTACAAGACGTAAGACCTGTGCGAAAACTTGGAGCGGCTTGTAAGTCAAATAAATGCTTACAAAGTAATGTGATTAACTTCAAAAAGCTTACAGAAAGTGTAAGATTAAACATTTTAAAAAAATTTTGGGAGATGAGCTGGATAGCCAAGAGAATCTTTGTTTCATCTTTAGTTGATAAAAAATTGACTAAAAGAAAAACTACTGAAAGGGCAAATACAAGGCAAAGTATTACTAAAGCCTATTATTTAAAATTAGATAACAACAAAATGAGAGTATGTTTGAAGACGTTTTTAGAAACACTGGGTATTAAAGAGTGGACAGTTGTTGTATCCCTATTAGAAAAATCTAATAGGGATACAACAACAAAACGTAATTATAATGCATGGCCTTGCCATTTTTTGAAAGAGTTAGTACAATTATTTTTAAAAGCTATGCCTAAATTGCCTTCTCACTACTGCAGAAAAGAAAGTAAATATTGTATCTAGAACCCATAATACAGTCTAAACGTGAGCTCTATCGCATCTATGTTAAAAATGCTACAAAAAATGGACAGAGAGTGGCTTCCAGAAAACTTTTTTAAGATGTTTTGAAAGAAGAAAATATAGCTATGTTTCAACCAAAGAAAGATGCATGTGATCTATGCTGTTCATATAAAACAGGAAATATTACAGAGCAAGAGTATCTACAACATGTATCACAGAAAGATTTAGCTAGACAGGAAAAAAATTTTGACAAAATAGCTGCAAAAAGTGGAACAATTCATGTTATCACTGCTGATTTACAAGCAGTGAAATTATGTTCATACTTGAAAGCCAGTGCATTGTATTTTAAAACAAAACTGATGGTTCATAATTTTACAATATACAATCTTTGCACTAATAAAGTAAAGTGTTATTGGTTTGATGAAACAGTTACTGATTTAAAGGCATCAACTTACGCATCATTTTTTGTTGATTATTTAGATAAATTAATTGATGAATCCCCAAAAGATGTCGTAATTTTTACTGATGGATGTACATCACAAAATAGAAATGCCATTGTTTCGAACGCACTTCTACAATTGGCAATGCAAAAAAAATCATCACACAAAATTTTTTAGAAAAGGGTCATACTCAAATGGAGGTAGATTCAGTTCATTCAGTAATAGAAAGAAAGTTAAAACACCGTGAAATATTTTTACCTAGTCAATACTCTTTAGTTACTAAAGAAGCTAGACGCAATCCATCTCCATATGAGGTAGCAATGGTAGACCATACATTTTTTAAAGATTATAGTATTAAAAGCTAACTTATTTATGATACAATCCGTCCTGGAAGAGGTACTGGAACAAAATATGTGGTTGATATAAGAGTTCTAAAATACAATCCCAATTGTACATTTCAAACTAAGTTACAATGAACAATTCAAACAATTACCACAAAGACTAAAAAAAGTTCAACCAGTGATTCCACCACAACTCTTTACTGAAAGATTGCCAATCTCAAAATCAAAAATAAACATTTACAACAGTTAAAAAGTGTTATACCCAAGGATTGCCATGAATTTTATGACAACTTACCTTACAAAAATGATTTTCTTTTATTCTATTAAACTATAACTACGATTAAAACCTGCTCTATTGTTTCTAATAAGGTAATTGAAAAGACTGTACAGGCTGAGTTAAAGGTAAGATTGAAGCAAACTGTTATTGAAATGTTGTTGTACTATCAATATTTATATTTTGAAGAGATTTCAGAATTTTTTTTTTTTTTTTTTTTTAATTAAGCTTGTAAGGCATAAGGCTTTAAATTGTTTGATGACTAAATTGTTAACTATAACACCCAATAGCTATTATTGACTATAAAAAGAACATCAATATAACTCTTTATGCCAAAATGAGCTCAAAATTTGTTTAGATAAAAAAAAATATACAGTTTTAACCTTCTCCTGTAAAACTATCTGCAATGCAGATACGCGCTCCCTACCTGTAGTAGATCCGCGGATTTACACTATCCCCGACGAAATGTTACTTTTAGTAAAACACTTTAAGTACAATTTGTCAATAATAATACTCAGCAACTTTATTTTTTCAACCATCAACATTTTTACAACAATTTTTTAAAATTATTAATTATTTTTAGTAATACGCAATACTTTTTATAAGCCAAAAAAAAACCAATGTATTATGTATGCGTCAAAATTATTAAAATAAAATATCTTATTGACGCATACATAATACAGTGGTTTTTATTATATCAATATTTATATTGATATAATAAGGTAATTTATTAATTGGTTAAATTCATTCGAAAAAATTAATTGCTAAATTCATTACTAATTCTTCTGACTTTTCAACAGATTTTTCTAACTTTAATAATAAAGTTCTTATTTATACTGCTTAAAGTATTTTGCATAAATTATCATGATTAAACAATCCAGAAATTCAAAATAAGACATTGCACTTGATCCAACAAACAGACCTATTTGACCTCCAATGTCACCTAGCCAAGACAATAAATCGTAGCTTGGTTTTTGCTCTAACAGTTCATAAGATAAATCATCGTAGTAAAGCACGATTCGGAGCAAGTTATCCCTGTTAAACATAAGGAATAAAATAATACAGAGCATCCTTTATTTATTTTGTAATCCAAATCATTTAAATACAGTGCAAAATAATTATATGCAGTTCAAAGCATATATATTAAAAAAATAATCCAAACCTCATAAACTGCAATTCTTTTTTTTTGTTACCATATACGTCGCGAAATTGTTGAATATGCATCAAATTTTTTATAAGACTCTTTTTGTATTCATTTGATGGAAACAAGGCTCGTGAAACTGTTTGTCCGAAATAAGTATCTGCATCGCAAGGAAGAGGGCAATTCGAGATTTTTTTTTTTTCAAATTCCTCTAATAAAAAGCAAATGAATATTTATTTTTCAAAATGATTTGTTCAACCGATCGATTAGGAACTGATTTTTAATTTATAACATAAAATAAAAATAAAATTTTAGAAGTAAGCGAGTTTAAAATTTAAACTATTCATAAGGCCGACGACACGGGGGAGGGGGGGGCCAGGGGGCACGTCCCTTACCCCCCCTCCCTACTTTTTTTTTTTTTTTTTTTTTTAAGAAAAATCTTGATATAGATGACTTTTTTCACAAATTGATAATTGTACCCCTCACTTCAAAACCCGTTTCGTCGGCCCTGATTTATAAGCACTTATCTGTAACTAATACTTTTTTTTTTTTTTTTAATTCACCTCCTCAAGGCCGAGAAGGCCACTACAGACGAGGAGGCTACTTATTTGTGGTTATAACCCTCTCTCAACTCTATAACTTCGAAACACGAACCTTAAAGAGCAAGGCCGCTGCGCGGAGAAACGAGTTGAGCGCGGTACTACCAGGGACGTGGTGGGGATCGAACTCGGAACCACTCGTTTATGAAGCGAGCGCTCTACCACTACACCACTACCGCATATAACTAATACTTAAAAGTCTAAGTTAGGTCCAAAAACTAATAAACAAAATTAACATTAAATTTGGAAAATTTGTTTTGAGTTGTTTTACTTTAGGACTTCAGTGTTGATGCATACAAACCTTTGATTATAAACCCCTGAATATTTATAAAAATTTTAATAATACGTATAGAAAAAGGGGGCTGAATTGAAAACCTTAAAGTGAAAAAATTGAATAAAAAAAAACTTAATGTATGAAAACGTTTATTTTCAGATAGAAACAACCATTGATGAAGCTAAAACAAAAAAAATCATAATTTCAAGATGAAAATATTAAAATAAAGAGCACACTAATAAAAACTAAATATAAACATGATTGTAATAATTACCCTCAAAAGGTAATAGTTAGGTTAATAAGTACCAAAGAGTATAAAGAAAACAAAAGCTCAGCACTAATAATAAATAATAAATAAAACAATAATTGGTAAATTCTTCATCAGTAAAATCTAAAAAAAATAACTGGTTCATTCTACTCTACTTGTAAAATGTATTTATTAACATAGTTCACATATATATCTATCATGTGACCCATTTTGAGATTCAGATGACGAGCACGCAAAATGCATTCATGCCCCACAAAGTAAACATAGTTTCAAATCATCCTCAATGTCTTTATCGCACACAAAAAAGTACAAGCCCTATTCTTTGTTGGCGGTTTGACTGTTTTAATTGACCAATTTGTACTAAAGATACATTTTTTTTTTTTGACAAATTTAAATTTTTACGTGATTTCTTTTTGTCAGTGTCAGTTTTATTCGTATTTCTAGGAGAATTATTAAATTAAATACATGAACTTGATGTTAATATTTCTAAGCTTTCTTTTTTTTTTTTTTTTCTTATTGTTTGTATCTTGATATGCACAGGATTTGGTGAAATGTGTTTAACAGCAGTAAGTGATTGTTTGGGGCTGCTATCACAAGTTGTTGCCTTAAGAAGTAAAAACCCATAAACTTTCTTTGACTTTTGTTACTAAAGTTATTTTTAAAATAAACTCTTTTCCAAAAATTGTATCAAAAAAGCTGAATCACTTTTAGAAATTTTTATAATTTGCTTCAAAAAAATTTTTAGAAGTTTTTATAATATGCTTCAAAAAAGCTTTAAAAAAAGCCAAAATCTGATTTAAAAAATTAATTTTAGTAGAGACTGTTCACGATTCTGTTTTGGCAGCCTAAACTAAAATTTTCAGAAGTCTTCTGAAATCTTAAAAGTTGTTTTTTGAAAAGCTTTTAAACAGAAAAACTATTGTTCAATTTATGGCATTCACAATTAGTTAAATAGTTGGCATTTTGGTAATAGATACTAAATATGTTTTAATTAGTTGATGACTCTCTTTAGTAAACGAAACATATTTTGAAGAATCCTTTAAAACCTAAAACATTGTTACACTCAAAGTGTAGCAAAACGTATCATCAGCTTCAAATGATTAAAAATTACCATGAGCTTCAAATAAAGCTAATTCAAAAAATTAGAAAATCTACCAACTATGTTTTTACTTGTTTTGCTGCTTGTTTAAAAATTGACTAAGTTAATTCAGTTATACTGAACAAAGTGTTTTTATCTTCAAAAAACTTCAAAGTTCTTTATAATATGCACAGCACCTATCATAACATCTATCACAACATTTATTAACAAAACAGCTTTAAAAATGTTAGTACAAATTTATTGAAAATAGAAGTAAGAAAATAGCAACTACAATAAAGAGAGGCAAAAGCTAAGTTAGCGACTTATTGAATATATTTCCAGCAGAGATTAGAATTCAAGAATAAAAAAAGTAGAGAATTCAGTAGTTTTGCCATTTGTCACCATTTTTCAAAAATATGATTATTATCAGTAAATAACTAAGTTTTGTTAGGGTTAAAATTAACCAGCAACTACTACCACTACATTACCGCACAAAATGGTTACAGCGTTTGTTTAATAAGCAGGAGATGTAGGTTCGAAATGAGCTCTGGGCATTTTTTCGCGTCACGGTATGGAAGGAGGCGTGAACTTCCTGGCTAAACGCACTTCCGATGTGCTCTGTGACAAGACCGTTTGGTCTTTTTAGGGCACCTAAATAACAAAAAACAAAAAAACAAAATCACATTTAAGGCAAGCAGTCTTTTTTAAGAGATTAATAAAATAATTACTTTTAGATGATTAAAAAGACTGAAGTTTATAGTTGCATCATAATGCCATAGTTTTGTCATAAACAAATAAGTTTTTAATAGAAGGGATTAGGGTTTCTAGCAAAATACTGATATGTTTGTCGAGGTGTCAAGAAAGGTTGTAATTATCAGCTTTTTTTTTCTTTGAGAGAGAGTTTTTTTTTGAGATATTTAATTTTTTTTCTTTGAGAGAGATAATTAGTTAAGACAATAAGTCTAACACTCTATCTTACCTATATAAAAAATCAATTGTTAGACTTTAAAACTTTGAAATGAATTTATTACACTATTAAAATTACTTAAATCTTTAATAGTGTTTTTAACAACTAAAATACTACAAGTCTTTACATCTTAACATCTGCAATAAAGTACTATGATTTTCTGAGAATAATGAAGCTTTCCGGTAGACAATATCTTGCATCAATATCTTGCAACAAAAAAAAAAGTCTATTCTTATAAGAGTTGTTCAGGTGAAAAGAATACACAATAACAAAGAAAAGTCAGAAAATTCACAACAAATAGGTAAGTTTAAACGTAAGTATAAGCCCTGATTAAGCATGAAACTATTGAAGCCTTTGTGAATCAGAGAACAATAGCCAACAACACTAATATTTAAATATAAAACATAAATAAGTATTCTAAGTCTAACAAAGAGTAAATAGGTTTGCTAAATTTTGTAAAAGATTCTACGCCTACTTGAAGATCACAAATACCAATATTGTGGTGACGATGGTTTTTTTTGTTATATATTTTCTTTGCTATTATAGTCATAACTATTAGAGAGTAGGGGAAAGGCGCCTATGATGGCATAGCGCCTATGATGGAATACCGGTCCTATTTCCATAAAAATGGGTTTTGATGAAAAAATGATTAGACTTACATGACTATTCTGACTTTACATTAGTTTTAGTGAAAATACATCCCTTTTGCACAAATATTGTTTTTATAATTAACAAAAATCGATTTTGGAATGTGCTGTTGTTGTTTTATTCCATTTACATATTTAAGATTGTGATTTTGTTATTAACAGTGCAGAAAAGGAATTTTCATGCATTTTATATCCAAGTTTTGTGCATTTAGTGGAATACTTACTCTAACTTTTTCTTTTGAACAAGGCAGACATAGCTTATTTTAATGAAAATAATGACTTCTTCTTATAATGGCATAAGATAACTTATTTTTAAGTAAAGTAAAACGAAAGCAATGCTCAAAAGTTTTTTTTTTGGTTCAAAAAATACATAAAGCGTAATATATCCTATGCGCATGCGTGAAACTTTACAATGCTGCTGCATATTATGAAATGGGAAATTAGGATTGTGCTGAGTAATTTCTGGCTTTTCTGAGGGAAGACTTTAAGGTTAAATGAAATCATAAAGTTAACCTTGATTCTAACCAGTCCCATCATCCACTAGAGCATCATAGGAGCAGTGGTTGCCTATGATGGCATACTTGTGCTTTTTTTTAAATAGGAATAACTTATTAAATAAAAAAAACTGATAAAAACTCCGAGGGTTACTATTTTTCTACTTGTAACAAGCATTGTATCCATATCAAAAACTTTTATTATTGGTTTTTAGGATACTGAATAATGAAGCTTCAAAGTTAAGTATGTCACCATAGGCGCCTTTCCCCTAATTGACTTTAACATAGATGTTACTTAGCAACCTTAACAATAAGCTATGCTGTTGCCTCAGTCTTGCTTATCAATCCAAAGTTGTAACCAAAGCTTCTTATTTTGCCTCAACAATGCACATCGAAAGGACTAACAGAGATACCTTCCTTGCGCAACATGACAATCTTATTTCTCTTATATTTTACTTCTGTTAATGGAAGCAGCTTCTTCGAGAGCTACTACGAATTTTAAAAGCTTAACTTCTAGTAGACCTTAGAATCAATGAACTGAGTTTTAGAGCTGTGCTGTACTTGGAGAGTTTCATAGTCATTATTAAGCGGGAACAAGCTAAAACCCATAAGTAAAGTCAAAAAAATTTAATCCTTATTAAAACTGTTTCAAGGATGTGTATTTTTTTTAAATTTTTTAAAAAATAAACCATCTATGTCAGAAGGATGGAAATGATTCAGTTAGTTTGAAAGTATTTAGAGCATTTTTTTTTATTTAAAGAAGGGCACAACGGATTCATAATTATTTTTTCAATCAAGTCAGAGCTCAGTCAAATCAAAATCTTGATGAGATTTGTTAAATGCTGGAATAGATTAAAAACAATAGATTTAAAATTTAATATATAAACTGAAAAGAATGTCTTAGCCTTCGGCTACTTTCTGTCAGGGATTCTGGCAGGTCAATTACAAGGTTATCTTTCATCAGTCAAAAATACGGAATTGCAATGGAAAAAATTGTGGTCTTGTTCGATAAAGTTTGTACGCTATATAAGTTAACACTTTAATAACTCATTATTTGATGCTTATGATGTTATTTGATTAAAATTTTGGATTCTCACAAAACTTGTATTAAGTATTTTAATTATTTACAACAAATAAATTTAAAAACTTACCCCAAGCTGGCCACATGCAACCAAAAGCTGTTGAAAAAGTGCAAATTGAAATGTTACCTAAAGAAAGCTATTACCTTTTTATAACATTTTAGTAGTTACCAGCTGTTCTATCTAAAGTATTGCAAAATAAAAACGCTTTCCAAAAAAATATCTCTAAAAACATGACACCCGTAGAACACCATCTTTTTGCTGTATTCATAACTGTAATATTTCAAGTGTAAAAAAAGAAAAATATTATGAAAGCTATTATAAAAATTATTATTAGGTTTGTATTATGAGATAATAGTTTTTTAAAAAATTTTACTAAGTTTATGACAACTTGAATTGGTATTCCACTAGTTTTAGGGTTAATTAATGATTTCTTCACAATCTTAAGAAAAATGTCACAATTTTTTTTTATTATTGAGGAAAATGGGACAAAATGGACTTCATACAACAACTTGTCAAGAAAAAAAAATTTAATTGACTTTTAAAACGTTCCCCATCTCATCCCCTAAACAAAATAACTACAAAATTTTAAAGCAATTTGTAACAAGAAAAAAAGATTAGAAAATAAGATGCTAGAAATGATGCTATGACCATCAAAACAAACTTGATAAGCTTCATACCTACAACTTGTTATGTGAGGTAAAAACGAGAGAAGCAGTTGCTTTTAAGGGATAAGTATTTGAATTAAATATTCAATTACTACCAAGCAAAAACATTAGAATTTAGTTAAGTCTTATAAAAATTACCAATTTAGACCACTCCATTCTTCTTCTAAACCTATAATGTACCTTCGAGCATCATTTGATGCACTTAAAATAAATAAGAGTGCAGGGTTTGACATTATCAAAGTTATAAAAGCTTATTTTATGCTATTGAATTTCTTTTTTTTAATCTTCAATCTGTAACTAAAAATTGATGCTTTTTCTTTTCATTAAAAAATGGAAGGAGTAGTCCCTATTTAATAAAAATGACAATGATTTCATTCTTCGTTGTTTGTTCAAAGCTGTTTGAGCGTATTTTGTATAACAGACCATATTATGTGTAACAGTTTTTAATTATCTTGAAAAAAGTAAAACCTTCTTCATCAAACAGTTTGATTTTTGAAAAAGGCATTCAAATCATCATGTAAAAACTGATTTAACTAATCAAATTCTAGACAAGTTTGCTAACAAAAAGTAAACTCTCGCCTTGTTTATCAACTTATCAAAAGCTTATGACACTTTTTTTTTTAATTTACCTCGATAACTCCAAAGTTATTTAAAATGTTTTGAAGTTTACTTAGTCACTCAAATAAGTACTAAATTTCATACAAATTTGAAATCTGCTCTATATATTACAAAATCTTAGGAGAAATAATTTATCAATGTCTTATAAATATGTCCTAAAAATTTAAGTTCATAAACCCATACGATTTTTAAAAAACCATGTTTTAAAATGTCAAATGTCTCAAAAATTATTTAACCTGGGAAACGAGACTTTTTATAAAGTATTTCAAAAATAATGCTTAAAAACCACCAGCTATAGATGAAATTTTTTTTTCATTAGAAGTTTTAAGATCCACTATGGCTTTTTTTAATTCTTCGTAGTTTTTTACGCTGTTTTAACACCATACTAGAAGATTTACGTTTCATATGTTTAGCACGTTTATTATCAGTCTTCATTAGTTTCTTTGAAGTTATTTGTCGTTTTAATTCAAAAACTTTCCAAAACAAATTTTACTTCATCCCTGCCATCATTTAAATGAAGAACTGCAGAACTATTTGCCAATTCAAACGTTCCTTTAGACAAGAACACACTTTCAGAACAGCGAGTCCATAGTATTGCGTTATATGCTTTATTTGCATATTGCGTTTCTCAATTAAGGCATTTGGTTAGCAATTTATAATCAGATAAATCTTGAAAAATTGGCTTCAGCTTTAGATAGTTCCATATTGGTAAATTAATTTTATCTTAATGAAACTTAGTACCATTTAGTTGATCAAGTTGCCACTTACACCAAGAACTTTTATCTTTGGAACACATAGCATGGTGACCTGCAGGATCTCTAAATGCGGTGCAATGGTAGAGAAAAGCTCCTATAGCTTTCTTCATTGCGTAAACATTATCAGAGTTCGAATATCAAGATCATAGTAGAATCAATAATAGTATCAGCAGGTTTCTCGCCATCGTTTTTTAATATCATTTTGGTTACAAATACGACGTTGCCAACAACCAAAAAACAACGTTGGCCAAACTTGTATTTTAAATCGGCATTACGTAATATTTTACGTTGATTCAAGGCTGTATTTTACGTCGGCACAACGTTGTATTTTACGTTAGCGAAACTTTGTATTTTAAGTTGATTCAATGTTATACTTAACGTTTACATAACGTTACATTCAACTTTTATCGGAATTAAACTTTTTTTATTTTTATTTTAGTATATATATATATATATATATATATATATATATATATATATATATATATATATATATATATATATATATATATATATATATATATATATATATATGTTAAATTGCATATATATATATATTTATGCACCTATATAATTGTATATATGAACTTATACATATGTATTTCATCCATTTTGATCAATCAAAATTACTGATCACGTTTGTTTAAACTATTTATTACTAATGATGTTGCATCTGACTGAAGATCCATTATTCATGTTTGTTTTGCTTGTGGCTTTATACTTTGTTATATAAGAAAAAGAAAAATATATTAGCAAAATATATTTCCATTTTTCATCTAAATATTTCAAAAATATTTAAATGAAAATTCTCATAAATTATACAATTATATATTTGTATATCTGCCTTTTCGCGATGCAAACACAACATTTACCCAGAATATACAATCCAACGTTATTCCAATATATATGAATCAACATGTTAAAACAGTAAGTAATCATTTTGAATGTTATCTTCCCACAACTAATATAACGGAAACTAATGACTACTCAATCATTTGACTCAAACAACTTGCAACCACGTTTAGTTTTTTGATTAGAAACATGGCACTCTTTACTTGTGAAACAGGAGTTAATCCAATCAAAGCTCATACATTTCAATTCTGATAAATGAGTAAATCCCATTCTTCTAGTCAGTTTATCAATAAATTCTATTGGTTGTTTGTTATCACATTTAAAACAATACAGAATTGGTAAAATTGTTTTTTTGCATTTGCTCAATATCCATAAACATAAAATATTTACGAGTAGTGCTGCTGCAATTTCCAATCATAACCATTACTTCCATATCTACCAGCAAAACAAATCTCCTGAAAACAGACGTTTGACTACTGCTAGAAACCATTGTAAAAAAGGTTTTGTCTTACGCCAAAGCCGAGTATTTTCAATATTCTTAAAGCTCACTATTCTCAATATTCTTAAAGCCCACTATTCAATATTCTTAAAGCCCACTATTCTACAAAATCTCGTATTTAATCTCAAAAATAAGGCTCACGTGACTTGGAGAATCTTTAACAGTATCTATAACAAGAGCAAATCTGTTATTCCATCTCTCTTGTATGGTTCAGATTTTTTTTTCATCTTACCTAAAAACAAAGCTTAATTGTTTGCTAAAAACTTCTCATCAATATTATCTTTTGATTCACTAGTCGCGTTTTACCTGATATAGCCGACAAATAGGTTAATCTATTGCCTGACCTTCGTATCACTCCAGCTTTTGTATCTAAAGTGATTTTCTGCTTACACTCTTATTCAGCTTGTGATCTGGACAACAAACCTGTTAAAGCCTTATATAAGTGTTCACCGAAGCTATCTTCTATACTTTCAAAACAATTTAACAATATGCTTATTAGAGTCTTTTTTTCTAGCCTGATGGAAAGCAGCATCTGTTATCCCTATTTACATTTATTCTGGAGAGCAATCTGACTCGTCTAACTACCGTCCCATTAGTCCTTTTATTATCCTAAGCAAGGTTTTTGAGTCTTTAATTAACAAACTATCTCTCATCTTGAATCTAATAAAATACTTTCTAATCATCAAAATAAGTTTTGATCTTCTCGTTCTACTGCTGGTTTGTTAACGGTAGTAACTGATAGATTTAGATAGATGTGAAAAAGGTAAGACTCTGCCAACATTTATAAAACACTTGATAAAGTTTGGCATGCTGGTATTCTCCATAAGCTCTCTTAATAAGCATAAGCAGCTCTTCTTATGGTGTATCAGGTAACATCTTTAAGATGGTTAAATCTTTCCTTACTAATCGTAGTATAAAAGCTTTCCTTAATGGAAAGTACTCTTTTTCATATCCTGTAATTTCAGAGATTCCTCATAGTGCTATTCTTGGCCCTATACTTTTTAATTTGCATTAACAATCTTTCAGAAATTCTCACATCTAAGGTGGCATTGTTTGCCGACAATTCTGCATTAATTCTTGTCTTGATAAAAAGCCAACACTCTTTGGTTACTTGGAGGGGGCATTTGAGTTTGAAAAGGATCTCACTTCTTCTACGGAATGGGGCTCTCAGTCGCTGGTAAACTTTAACTCAGATAAATTTTCCGATTATGATTATCCCAATAAATTAAGTCTTCCTATATTTATGAACGGTAATTTACACGATGAGTCATCTACCCTTTATCTTCTAGGATTAACTCTTACTTCCAATCTTTCTTGGAAACTATATATCAAATTGATTGCAAAGTTAGCATCTGCTAAGGTTGCATCTCTTTATTGTTCTCGCTAATTTCTTACTCAGGATTCTATTCATTATGTCTATCAAACTCAAATCTGCCCTCGTAATAAATACTGTTGCTATATTTAGGGAAAATCTTTGAATGATACCCTTTCTCTTTTAGGCACGGTGCAAAAACGCATTGTTAACATAGTTTATATATAGATCTGCTTTTGTAGCTAACCATTATCACATCGTTGTAATGTTGCTATTCTTTCTTTTTTCAATAAATACTATAATGGAAATTACTCTAAAGAGCTAGCATCTCTTGTGCCTTGTACTAAAATACATTCTCATGTTACTCGTCATTCAGTTAAGTCTAGTTTTTTTATTGGGACTGTTCCTAAGTGATCAAAAAATTCTTATTCACCTAATTTTTTCCCACAAACATCAGTCCTTTGGAATTCGCTTCCTTTATCTTCTTTTCATGATTCATATAATTTGCATACTTTTAAGTCGTTAAAAGTATGCAAATTATAGAATCGTAGGAAATTAATAGAAGAGAAAATATGAAGTTAAAAAAACTTCATATTTTTTCTTCTAGTTCCAACTCTAATAGTGGTTTCTTGCAGCCTTGTTGGAAGTGAAGATGTTAAAAAAAAAAACTTGCTTACTTAGTTTCTAAATCTGCTTTAGTGTTGTATTTGTAAACGTTTTTTTCTTCGGTTTTAACCATGCCGCGATGCTTTGGTGATATTTTTTTGTTTTTTCTTTGCATTTTTACTAATTAAAATCTAAAAAAAAAAAATTCAGATAAACAGATTTCAAAACAACATGCTTAATCAAGTCATGTCATAAGACTTGCTTAATCAAGTCATGTCATAAGACTTGCTTAATCAAGTCATGTCATAAGACTTGCTAAATCAAGTCATGTCACAAGACTTGCTTATCCTTTTAACTTTAAAAATTGTTTTAGCTGTATCTAAAGTATAACTTTATTTCGTTAAAGTGCAGCCATAAAAATGTTTCAAAAAAGGCATTCTGTTGTATTTTAGGGTATTTACATTAAGGTGATGACTTTTTAACTTTTTTTCTCAAAAATTATTTCCTGTAATACGAATGGATGAACTTTTCCTATTAGTGACTAAAATGACCTATATTCCAATGAAATATTGAAAAAGATCAAGCACAAACCAATTTAAAATGTAATATAGGCCTTTTTAGCGTAATTTTTTAATTTTTAACGTTTTGTTTCAACAATATTTATATATAATATGAGTCATTAAATTTGTTGGGTGCAATCGACCCCCCTATTTGTATCTTTGTCTTCAGCAAATTTTGTTATAAAAATCAAGAAAAATATTTATTTTTTACTCTAAACGTCTTCGTTTTACAAAAACGAACCCTCCTAAAAAATTTCAAGGTACTGTCCTGAGAGAATTACTAGGAATTTTCCAGTATATCGCAGAACGTTGTGCGTTCGAGAAGTTTTGTTTTACAGTGTGGTGTAAACTTATATATAAGCGAGGCGTTCAAAGAGGATAGTTAAGTTTAAATCAGTTTAAATCAATTTTGTGTCAATACAATTATTTCCTAATTCAAAGAGATCTTGTATTATATATTTGGTGACGTTGATACTTGTGCTTTATATACAAACTGTACATATAATATTTTATATCTTATTTTTATTTTCTATAATTTTGAATTGCTTGTTTTTAAATAATATATATGAAAACTCAGTAAGAGTTTCTTTAATTTGTCACATGTTAATTATTTACGTTTAGGCCTTTTCTATTTCATAATAAGCTCAATAGATTGACTAAACCACCAAACATTGAGTACTTCTTTATGAAGGATTCGATAAGTAATTATGATAAATTGAAATCTTCAGCAATGATAAAAACGAGATTAAGGAAACAGGTGGTTGCAGGGAAGACATGAAGCCTTTTTACCATATCACTCATGTCTTCCGTCCCCACACTGAGAAGAATGAGATACCTATTATAAATTTTCAACAGATCTTAAACATTAGCACTACACGCTGGAACTCTCAAGCCATTCTAGCTCTTATTGTGTTTATTTTGACGCCTGAAACCCGTAACAGTCTGCGTAAAATTGGTTCATTCGATTCCTATTCATGAGCCGACCATTGGTTTTGCAATCAATTATTCCGCACTGAATATTTTGATGATTTATCTGCAGTGCTAAATGACTACCCAAAAGTTCTCAGATGCTTGTAAAACCACTAGAAAACATACGAATCTCCAACCAACATCGCCCGAAGCAACCAGATCTGTGAACGTGCGATCAAAGTTTTGCATAAACTGTATTACTCCTGTCGCAACAAGGACAACCTCCTACTATAATTTATCCTGTTTATGCTATCATCAAACACACATTCCTTGTGTGTTTGATAACCCTTTAAAAGGTTGCATATATGTGACTCAGTTACAAAGATGAAACTTGTTTTCATTTTTGTAACTGCTTAAAGGGACCTCAAAAATTAGGCAAAAAAGCTAATTAAAAAAAAATTTAAACCATTTTGTACATGAAATTTTTTATCAAATTACCTTAAAAGTAAGATTTTATCTAATCTTTAACGAAAGCTCATCAAATAATGAAGAGAAACATGGTTGTAAAAAATTATCAACCTAATTTGCTAGGGTTGTTTCTAGGAAAAAGTAAAAACAATCAGTTCACAAATATATCAAGATTTTAGCAATCATGTCAAAAAAACTAATTTTTGTTTGTGTAATTTATAATATTAAATTTTGTTTTATGCGTATATTATTATAAATTAATATATTATCTAATATTATATAATATGTTAATTTATAATAATATTAGATAATATATTAATTTATAATATATAATATTGTCAATAGTACACAGTTCTTTCTGAAAATGTGAATAGCATGACATCAATAAATTTTAAAAAAATGTAGTGAAGCAGTATTTGCTTGACTTTAACAGACACAAACATATTTTCTATTTAAGTGCATAAAAATCTTCAACACATTACATAGCAAAATGAAAAAAGACAAAAAAATATATTTGTATAACAGCAGGAATATATTTATATAACAGCATTTTATTACATTATTATTTAATATTAGTATAACTAAATATTTTATTTTTATTTTTTTATCAATATAATTAATTAATTAATATAAGTTAATAAATTTATTTTACGTTTTTAGAAATCTATTTGTAAAACAACTTTACTCCAGTTTTTGAAGAATTGACATTTTTACAAGCGTTATCATTTTTGTGGGTTGGGGGTCAGCAAAAAGGGCAAAAATTAAGCTCATATTTCAACTTTTTCAGTCATTTGCAATCAACATGCATATCAATATGTCAATGAATGTTTATTTTATAATGCAGTTAATCTTTTTTTATCTCCTTCAGGATAACTTTCGAATTATTTATCTCCTTTAGGATAACTTTTTATAGTATTTTAACGACTATTTGACTTTTTAGTACTGAATTTCAGTGTTTGCAGTACAGTGATCAAATAAAATTAACCTAAAAGCATTCTTTAATAATTAACAGTAAAAAAAGATTGTCTTTCTTCATTTGCATCCCTAACCCCTGGTTACTGCGTGTTGTCAATGGTCGTCTTTCACATATTCAATAAAAAATTTGATTATTCAAAACAATATGTGTAAACATACGTAATTAGCCACATATTTCACATATCATACATTTTGTGTTTAAAAACATTTTTTAGAAAATCCCTAATTTAATTGAACGTCAACATTACTTTAAAATATCTATAAAAACTATACAAAATAAAGGATTTAGTTCATAATAAGATCTTTTGTTTTAGTATAATAATAAGTTCTATACACACTTACCTACATTTAAAATAGTGTGTTAGTTCTCATACTATAATAAAAAAGATCAACCAAGTATAATAAATTCACCTGGCATAAAAAAATCTTTGCAACCACATTTACTGTTTACATAATCTGTAAGTTGGTCGAGCCAACATAATTGTTTTGAGTACCCTTTGAAAAACTTTAGGTTGAGAGATCCACATCGAGTTTTATAAGGATATTTTAAATTTTTTGTCTAAAGCAAAAGAAAATATTAAATTTACACAAAATATACCTAAAAATAAAAAATATACATACAAACATACATATATGGATACTGGGAAAGTATGTTCATAATAAAGACTATTGCATTGAATTCAAAGATGTATATTAAGCGTTTATATAAAAACTTTTACTAAGCGAACATTGTAAGTGATATGCTTTGGGGAAAGGTGCTCTGTTTTTATGGATTAAATAAAGAATCAAAAGGATTTATTTTATTCTTAATGGATTTCAGTACGAGCTCTGGCACGACTGCAGTTTTTCTCACCTTTTTTTATTATTAATAAAGAATTTGCGCTGATTAAGAACCGTATATTCTCCATCATAATCATAAAATTTTCTTTCATAATTAACAATAAAAATAATAGGAGGAGGAAGGTGGGGGGGGGGGGATGGAAAGGGATACAGTGGCGCATATATATAAAAAAAAGATTTATCTCATAAAAAATATATTTAATTTCTTTACATAAAAATTAAAGATATTTACTGCAATACATTTCAAATTATATAATTTCCAAAAACGCGACAATATTATTTCTAAAGTTATAATATTTAGGGAATATCGCTATTTTCATGAAATATCTCCGATAACATGCTGTTATTTTATTATAGATATCTTTAGGATCGTATAATGAGTTCATTTGGCTGACCTTTTAAATCATCCAAAATTTTTTTTTTTTTTTTTTTTAAGTTGATTAAGGTGCCAAAGATGCCCCAAGAAGTCCTTACGGTCTTATCACAGAGCACCGCGGAAGAGCATTTAATAGGAAGTTCACGCCTCCTTCCCAACCGATATCGCAAAACTTGCCCAGAGGTGGGGTTTGAACCAGGGATCTTACGTTTCTGAGGCAAGTGCGCTACCACTGCGCCACGGCTGCTTTTTTTCAGAGGACAACTATTAATTCAGAGCTATTAATTCAGAACTATTAATTCAGAGCTTTTATTCAGAGGACAACTATTAATATCACAATGCAACAGCTCTGTTGTAGGCTTTTTAACATTTTAAGCTATTTATTTATATTTTATCATCTTTACGGTCTAACCACAGAACACCGCGGAAGAACGGTGTTCTGTGATTAGACTTAGATAATTGTTTAAGACAGAAAAGCTTACTTCGTACCCTTACATGTACCTCCGGATTTTTAAACTCTTACGAAAAGTAAGAGTTCATTGCTTTGAAATTAAGATGTTGAATAACGATGTATATCCCCAGTGGCGGACTGGCTGTATATACATTACCGGGCATGAAAATAATTAAGGGCCTTCCCGACCATACATATATCGGAAAGACTGCCCGGTCCGCAACTTTCTAAAAATAAGTCTAAAGAGGAACAGTTAAATCACAGATTAATAAAATTATATCGAATTAAAAAAGTACAAGTGATGTGCAATTTGCACAGTGCAAAGTATTGCAATAACTATTCTTAAAACAGTTTGCTCAATTCAGAGGACGAAGATGCATAACTTTGAATGATTGTGTCATACTCAAGGCTATCAAGTAGACTTTTTTCTACAAACATTAACATATATATGACTCTAAGTGGTCATTCGACAGAATTTCGCAATCTTGTCTTGATTAACTTTAACTTAGAAAACTAACTCTTTCACATTCGGTTTGTGTTACAGAAATAGTACATATTATTTTATAATTATGATACAAATTGTCATAGGTTTTATCGTTGAGTCTATATGCAGCAAGAATTCGTAATACACAAGATGGATACGATTCACATGCTCCATTAGTATGCTGATAACAGCGCTGTTCTTCTACGTCATCCTTTTGATCTGCATTCTCTCTCAATGTTGTCGTTAAGGGCAAGGACAATTTCAAAATCTCATAGTTAGTGATAAATGACAACAATTTGGCCTTTATTTTATCAACGTTGGCATCAGGTAAAAATTTCCCGAAATGCCAATATCACCAAAATTTGATGTATCAAAATATGCCGTGTGCATATATAATTGTCGATGTGAAATGAAATGTGACTCAAAACTTTGGACTACCTGATCCATCACCGAACTGTAAGTATGAATTCTGTAGTGTTTCAAAGCTTTAGATTCGTCACTTTTGTCAACTTTATGTTCATTTAATATATTATCTAACATCATTGGTGTCTTCCGCTTCTGTTTAACTGGTAGTTCAATCTTTACCTCTAATATGGTTTCAGTTTTTTAGATCACGCTTGCATTTGCCATCCGCACAAATTGAAGAGCGTTATTATGAACATCATCAAAAAGTCTTGATTGACTTTTCAATTCAATTGCGGCCTTCTCCACCATCTTAAATGCAACCAACTTATTTAATCCACGAGTTTGCAGGTGAAATTGAAAACGGTCCCACTTTTTCAAAAATTCGCAGGTAGGTAAAGGCAGTCAAAATGGTGTCAAATTTCAGAAATGGCATAAGCAATGTCTTAGCTTCATGACGTGTCTTTGAATCAAAATTTTCTGATTCGTTTATACATGATAGACATAAAATTAAATTGAAAAAAACTGTTGAAGATGGCTCAGCAAATGTTCCAAATATTGCCGTTGCAGCATTTGATTTACCCGACCACATTGTTTCACCAATCGATTTCAATCTTTTCATCTTATCCATTCTAATTTGTGTTTCAACAAAGTATAATCCATGTTGCCATTCGCTTATATGACACTTTTATGAATGTTGAAACATTTTGCAAAAGGTTAAAAAATGAAACTGCTTGAATGCAGCAACTGGTTGCCTCCTTCACAACTAAGTTGAGAACATGAGCATAACACCAAATATGTACAGTCTGCAGTCTCTGTAATCTTTTGTTGAAGTCCGTTGTACTGGCCATGATAACTTGTAGCACCATCAGTGCTGTCCGATAAGTAGTTTTACAAATTAAAGCCAAGCTGCTGTAGCGTCAAATTTAAGAGATCGAACAAGACTTGGCCAGTACCGTCATTGCTTGATACAATAGAAAGCAGCCGTTCATGCGCAGTACCATCTAAAACATAACGAACCATAATGCTAAGTTGGTCAATAGCAGATTTATCTTGTTTAGAATCAACTTGTACGAAGTACACTTTTGCTTTGGACACTTCCATTGCAATCTGTTGCTGCATCATATTTTTTATAATATTGAGAAGCTTTGATATAGTAATCTTACTTAAACACGTAACCAGAGCACTGCAACCTTTACTGCCTGCTTTACCTTGGCGCTTCAGTTTTTCTATTCTTTTGGTTGATTTCTCTTGACACATGGAAAAATGAGAAGCTAAAAGTGGGCTTTTATTATATTTATATTTGGCCAAGAGCTGTACCAAAGCCAAAAAGTTTTCATAATTTTCTTCATTATTGTCCAATGAATAAGCACCTTCATTCTTATGACCTCGAAATGGCAATGTTTGCTTACATAAATGTTTAATGATATCAATAACTCGAGAAAGTATTTGTTTTTGCATCAGTACTTCATCATTATGTTTCTTTGTTGTTGTACTACTAAATCTGTCAAAGCCTTGATTGTTCATAATACGAATGCAATTAAGAACATGCCTGCGTTGAGTGCTGTTTGATTTGTGTTCTGCAACCCGTTGCCTAACTCGTCTAAAATCTTTGAAGCCAGACATAAATGATGAAACGGTGTTAGATTGTGGTGATTTAAATGCAACACAATATGAGCAATATAGAGACTGAGAATTTTGGCTAAATGACAACCAATTTCTCGGTATGCTATCCTTCAAGTCCGTTTGTCTATGGTAGATTTTGTTATCAAACGGCAAATGTTCATGTGGTTGAATTGGGTGTTTGTTAAAAAAATATTTTAACTCCAAACGTGGTGGATATTCAAATGCTTATGTACTATGTAAATTCGACTCAATATCTCCACCACCTCGTGGTGGTATTATTGCTGATGTACTCTGTGAATTCGTCTTAATATCTCCACCACCTTGTACTTGTATTATTGCTGATGTACTCTGTAAATTTGAATCAAGATCTTTACCACCTCGTGCTTTTATTATCTCTGATGTAATTTGTAAAATCGACGCAATATTGTCTTGACATTGTGGTTGTACTGACAAAAATGATGTGATTAATTTGCACTTTTTTGCAAAAACTTCTCTCTGTCTGTTTTTCTTTGCACTTTAGTGCTCCAGATTTGGACGTGATGGTAGTGACCTAAGTTAAGAGTTTAACATTTAAAAATGATAGTGACCTAAGTTAAGAGTTTAACATTTAAAAATGATAGTGACCTAAGTTAAGAGTTTAACATTTAAAAATGATAGTGACCTAAGTTAAGAGTTTAACATTTAAAAATGATAGTGACCTAAGTTAAGAGTTTAACATTTAAAAATGATAGTGACCTAAGTTAAGAGTTTAACATTTAAAAAATAAAGCAAAAACAAGGATTGTCTCCTTTTAGAAAAAATGATAGTTAGGTCTTCAAAAATAAATTTTGTCCGATCAAAATTTATCTTTTTTTTTTTAGTACTTTAACTTATTAGGTGGAGAATATTATATAATATTCTATATATAAACATATATATAAACATAATTACAATATATATAAACATAATTACATATATAAACATACTATATATAAACATAATTATGTTTATTAAGGAAAAAAAAACATGTTTTTAAGAAATAATTTAGATTAAACATGTTTTTAAGAAATAATTTAGATTAAACATGTTTTTAGAAAAATAATTTAGATTAAACATGTTTTTAAGAAATAATTTAGATTGAACATGTTTTTAAGAAATAATTTAGATTAAACATGTTTTTAAGAAATAATTTAGATTGAACATGTTTTTAAGAAATAATTTAGATTGAACATGTTTTTAAGAAATAATTTGGATTGAACATTTTATAACAGTTCTTACTCTTTTGATCTATAATCATGTTTAAATAATAAATAATAAAGTTTAAATTAATGAATTTCTAAATTTTATTTATAATTTTTTAACAATTTGAAGCGACAGAGCAAAATCCTAAAAACTTTCAAA